GAAAAACTTTATATGAACAAACATATACCAGTTGCAGCCATAATATCTGCATATAAAACATACATAGTAAGCTCCAGAAAGAATTAGACAATAATATAGTTTGCAGGGCAAAAGATAAAAGATTTCACTGATTTTTGACATCAAGTGATAGTAGCACAAAACACAGAATGTGGTGTCTAGAAATCAAAGATTTAGTAGTTGAATTACTGATTTTTTATTTATGTTTTAGATAGCACACTGTGTTATGGTAATTAAGAAACTTTTTTCTAGCACACATTACCTTCAGAACTGTTAAGTCATCCTTTTGATCTCTTAACTTATACTGAAAAGCATTTAATCTAATAAATCAACAAGAATTATATACTTACTTCTTTCCTGATGCAGATTGAAGAATGCAGACAATCGGTAATCCGTCAGAAGGTGGTAAGTAAATATTACGTTATTATTACCTTAGGAATGGACTAATATTTACTGTACGTTTCACCTGATAATAGTTATCTTGTCATGAATCATTACATGTTGAGTAGAGACCTAGGTGTAAATTCCAGAGGTTGTGTCAACAGGTGCCGAGACCTACTTACCTATTGGTTTACCATCTTTTTGTTCTTTCTAGCTACACCATACAGTACTTTGTTTTCCCAACAGCCTCGTTCCCTCTGAATGTTGGTGAAAGGATGTATTTATCCAAGTGCAGAGATGGTTAATATCCTCCCAGTAGAGCTTCATTCTAGTTACACCATACAGTACTTTGTTTTCCAAACAGCCTCATTCCCTCTGAATGTTGGTGAAAGGATGTAGTTATCCAAGTGCAGAGGTGGTTAATATCCTTCCAGTAGAGCTTGATTCTAGTTACACCATACAGTACTTTGTTTTCCAAACAGCCTCATTCCCTCTGAATGTTGGCGAAAGGATGTAGTTATCCAAGTGCAGAGGTGGTTAATATCCTCCCAGTAGAGCTTTCTCGTTTAGTTTTACCTCTGCATGGCCTGTCACATATATCCAGGTGATGGTCTTATCGTGCTGTTACTTTGCTTTCTGCTATTTGTTGGGACACCAACCATAAACCATTATAATAACTTAAGAATCAACAGTGTTTGTTACACCATTCTTATTGTGTACTATTGTTACATGCTAAGAAGGATGCAACCTTTAGAAAAGTCACCGATAAATGTAAAAAAAAATTCTCACTAATCTTGGAAAGTTTTGACACTTGGAATATTTTAAGATGGCTATATCTCTTGAGAAATCCATGGAATCTTTGAAAGATGTTGGAAATTGATTGAACTCTTGGAATATGACTTCATGAAAACTTTGAAAGTTTAGGAGAAGATTATAGAAATCATGGAAGATAAGATTTTTATAAAAACCATTTGAAAGCAAAATAAGCCTATGAATGTTGAAAGTCAAGTTTTAAAATACATAAAATAATAAGAGTAAGTTCTAAACTAAACATCTTTTCCTATATACATGTAGATCAATGGTGACACTAGTTTTCTCAGCATGGATACCAGAACAATTCATCAAGCAATACAGGTTGTATTATTTAATCCTATGATGAAAGATATGTATATATCTAATAAATAAGTTAAAAGGAATTTATATTTTACTTGTTACCTGTTGAAATTTGTTTATCTTTCTATTTATGTAAGGCTGCAGATATAAACTAGATCACAAGTTACTGGTGTACTATGAAAACCAAAATTCTTTAGCTGTTATTTTTAACCACATTATATTTTACATTTATTCTCAGTTTCAGATTATCTTTAGATATTTCACTATGCCAGTGTTGTTTTTAAAGTAATATACTAATTCTACAATTCAAGTGCCATCAGCTAATAAGCTGTTCATGAAACACTAGTCAATGATTTTGATGTAGTTTTTCAAATGTCATTATTATTGTTACTCAACACAAATTCCTATCATTATAATAAACGTGAGAGGATGTTGACTACCAAGACTCCATAGTGTATTCAGCTGTGCGTGTGAATATACTGCTTTGATCATTGTTTACAGATTTACATCAGGTGTGACAAGATCAAATATACTGCTTTGATCATTGTTTACATCAGGTGTGACAAGATCATTCACAGTTAAAGCTCTGCATTCAAGCATCCTCTTTATACAAGAAGTTTTCATGCTCGCTCTCTTCATACAAGTCTTGTAGTAGAACTCCCCACCCCCAAATGGATTTGAGTGTTTTTTTTATGTCTTTGAGATCTATTGATTTATAATGTGTGTGATATAACCATGGTATTCATTATGGCTGTCTTCTACACCCTCTACAACAATGCTTTTTGTGTCTATTATTAGGTTGCTAAGTGGTAGAAGCATTTATTCTATTACCATATACCCAATATAAATATGCATATTTCTAATCAGTAGGCTTCAGAAACATAAAAATTACTGTAAAGTTTTGGTCAAAATCAGTGTTTGGCACCTGGATTATGGTTCTTTAAGTTTCCAAATGACAAACTGAATGAAGGAATAGAATGTTGAAATAATAGTCATTTACTTTAAGTTTCAAACAATCAGTTTAATGCGTTCTAACGTTAGCTTTATAAGAAAGTATTCTTTGTGTTTCTTCCACAGGAAATAAAGAAAAATGTACCTGTCTAAAGTAGAAACTTGACAGAAGCACTCGGGATTTCTAAGATTTATATATTCCCCACTTTCAATATTAATTACATTTTAAAGTTCTCGGTATTTCCTAACGTATTTAATATACAGTTAGATGCATACAATTTTGTATGGCTTCAAGTTATTTCAGTATAATCTGGTGCTTAAAAATTAATTATTTTTATTACTAATGAAGATTTAACTTAATAAAATAACTTAAATTATGTTTATGGCAAAGTTACGAAGGCCACTGTAATTTTGAAATGCCAACCAGAGGGAAGGCAACCACCCACTGCTAACACTCTTACCAACGAATAGTGGTATTGACCATCACAATATAATCTCTTCTAGAATCCTAACAACCACCTCATATACCTCTGTTGTTACAGTTTCAGCTGAGGTAAAGGTATACCTCAGATAAAGGCTCACATTTACAACTTCTGTTCTGTGTAGCTTAGGTCGAGGTACACTTCAGATAAAGCCTCAAATACAATAATATGCTGGCCACTTAAGATGAAAATTGTTACAAATTCTTTCTGTCATTAGATTCAACATAAATACTACAGTAAAACATTAAACAGATATAAAAATTCATGTGTGCTTGGTCACATATTACCTCAGCTGTATAATTTCATTATTTTCTTGTATAAGACATAGCTCATTGCATACAAATTAACTACAAAACAGAGGGAATGGTAAACTATGTTTTATCTCTATTCCACACAATGCTCAGGGAGACAATCTATATAATTCTGCTGCCACATGCCATACTCGTCTCTATCACTTATTGTCACTCGTTGACCAAAACTGAAATTCACAGAAATGCTAACTGGGTGTAGAACAGGGATGTTGTTATCAAAAGAGTTGATGATAGGAGCAAGAAGTGACAAATCGAGGGAGAGTGGAATGTAGAAGTTACCCTTCGGATGCAGAGCAAAGATGGGTGTTCTAGAACCGTGAACCAAGACACTCTCAGGCTGGTAAAAAGATGAAAGTTCCTTTGTTTTAGGAGAGTATGACATCTCGTTACTGGTGCTATAACCGGAACTGCTGCCACCGCCATTACACTTGATAACGGAAGGTGGACTTGGGTTAGATTCACAGCTGTTGCAATATTCAATATTACTGTTCCACGATCCACTTGAAGAGGGACTAATTTCAGAAATTCTTCGCTCAGGTTGGCCAGCATGGATGACTGAAACAGGATGGGAAAGAACGGAATCTTCTCGTGAGCATAAGTTTGATTTTGCAGACAAATCGGAGATTTCTTCCTCACCCTCTGGTGGTAATCTGTGCTGCTGCAAGTCTGCTGTAAACCGTTCTTTTATGTTCTTTTTAAAATTATAGACCTCTTCCCCTTTGGCAGCAAATTTGGGTATTGTGTGTCCTACCGTGTTGCCAGAAGTGAGCACATTAGGGAAAGAACTGTGATCACTACATGTAGTGTTGCAGCGGATGTGCTCCAAAGGCACACCTGGCTTTTGTAGCATCTCTCTCAGTTGACTCTCATCAGAGCTAGTTGTAGCAATGCTTGAAGAGACGGAGGTTTTGCTATCACTTTGAGGAAGAGCCACTCCTATAGGAGTATTAGACTGCTCCAGATGTAGTTGGGCCTCTTGTTCAAAAGAGGATGAAGCCGACTCACGTGGATCCACAGCTGGGAAAGAAGTTTGTGGTTTGATGTTCATTGCAAAGCCTTGAGATTTCTCACTGGATGAAACAGATGTTACTATTCCATCATTTTTGTAACATATTCCTAAAAAACAAGTAACTACCCATTATTTTTACAGTCGACAAGGTTGTATAACAAGGAATAAACTTTAATCTTCACAATACCTACTTAACTAGGACTTACAAACCAGCCAAGAATCTTAAACCTGTAAAAATAAGGATAACGTTCAAATTAACTGTCTGGACACTTTTAAACTAAACTGTGCCATAGTAGCAAGTTTCATTATCTTACATCAGATGGTATGCAACTATAGAGCTCAAACTAGACCTTATTAGCTAACACTGGAAGTTAAAATTAGAACATGCTTCAAGTGAGAATAATACTACAGAATGTCACTGTTTCAATTCTTTGTGTATAAAAAAAGCATAAAGTAGGTCTTTTAGTGACTATCAGTAGTATCAACCCAAACACAAGAAGAACACATTATTTATAGAAATATGAACCTTTTAATTTTAAATGTATTAAAATTTTCTTTTGTTTTGAGTTACTGTTAACAATCTTAACACAAAACTTAACAGAAGACTTTTTTTTTCTTGCACCAAATGCATATAAACTTGTGGTTCATTTTGGGAAGTTATAAAATGAAAACTAACTCACCTCGAGCCACTTTATCATAGTGCTGTTGCAGATGATTGACGAGCCTAACACAGAGTCCTTTTCTGCCACAAAGACCTTCCCTTTCCACCATGAAGAGCAAACTTTCAGACATACACTCTTGGAATCCAAGTTGGTAGTGCCACTTCCTCCACTTTTCAGCTACTTCACACGATTCTAAGAACAGTTGGTTTATACAGCTAAAGTACCATCACATTAAAAACAACTTTTTACACACAAATTATCATTATATGAATATCAGATAAAGTTCAATGTGCATTCCACGTTTTTTATAAAAAAATTTTGATATCACTTAGTCCTAGTTATTATTATTCAAGGTAATAATTAAAATTATCAGTAGAAATGAGAATCGTGCCAATGGTATAATTTTTCATTGAATTCAAACAAAATGTTTAAAAAATTATATTCCTAATATGTTTTCACTCATTTCCATCATTTCTGTGAAAAATATAAATTATTTTTAAGTTTGTCCAAGCAAAGACCATATTCCCTTCACAATCCAATTATTATAATAGATTAATTATAATTATGAAGCAATAACATTTGAACATTGTATTATATAATGTCAAATATATAACTTGTTACATTATTTGATACCTTCAGTCTGTTACAAATGCCCAATAATTACAACATTAATTAAGAAAAAAAATTATTAATCAAAAACTGCCCATTCAAAGAAAAACAAATGCTTTAAAATTCAAAGTGTTTAATTCTCAATTATATCAAAAACAGTAAATATGTTTGTGCACTTATAGCTTGTGATAAAAAGCTCCATCTAACAGTGTGGTCATAAATATTTCTGTGTACTATATATGGATTACCCCTGTGACTACCGGCACCTTCTTTAAATTCCATTATGTGCATGCCACAAAGTGCTGCATTTAAAATTTATTTAAAGCACTATTGATTTTTTTTTGGTACTACATATTTACAGATAGTGGAGTTCTAGTGCTCTATCTATTGATTTTTTCTAGGTACTATATATAGGATTTATGAATAGTGGGTTTTTGTTAATCAGGCCAATTGGCTATATTCTGCTTGAAAAATATTTAGTATTTTTTGGCACTCATGAGAAGAATGAATTTTGATTAAACTAAAATCTTTGACTAGTTTTAGTGAATAGCTGAAATTTCAGACTTTTGGTCCTATTCATTAATCAATCCATTTTCTCTTTACATAGACAGTAAATTTAACTATTGGAAGATAGATATAAGAAAGAAGCCTTAAAACATATAAATATGCCATTAAGTTTGAATACTTTTTCACATCTTCAGTGTTGCAAGAAGGTATATCAAAATAATGCAGGTCGAATCACCAGGTGTCAAAAATGAGAAGTTCTGCTATAGTTGTTAAATAAAAATCATTTATCACTGTATATGTTTCAGGATGATGTAAATAATGAAATAAAGGCAATTTCAATATATAACTCTTTAGCATGAGAAACCCATGAACTATCTGGATCTTGGTAAATATAACAATACAAACAAACAGTTCAACATAATTAACCCATGAATTACATGGATCTTGATAAATATAACAACACTACCACAAAAAATTTAAAATAAGTAACCCATGAATTACCTAGATCTTGACAAATATAACAACACACCCAACATCAGTAACACATGAATTACCTGAACTTTGGGAAGACTGAGCTTGAAGGAGTTTTATATGCTTAATAGCCATCTCAATGATTTCAGTCTTTTCTATTCTTCCTCGACCCTGATGAGGATATGAGAAAGCTTTTAACGAAAAATTGAGAGGGCAGATGATTTATCATTTCTTTTACCCTAAATCAAAAAGGAAACCTTTTTTGTTATGTTTCCACAAATACTTTAACTAACATTACTTAATAGGCTAATCTTCGTACTATAAAAAAAGTTCCCCAGGACACTAGGTTTGAGTTCCCTTTTCAAACACAATGTGGTATTACTCCTTGAAATCTTGTGTAACACCTGTTAAAATACACATGCATGATACAAAAATATTAACCTTTTGACCTGCTTTTAACTTACTATAACCCGAGTCCTTATAATGTTAATCAAAGATCGCAAATATTGGTTTTCTGTGTTTTCATTCCTGATAATAAAATCACTCCGAGTTAAATTTAGTGAATTATATTTCATCTTCAAAAACAGAAACACTGGTATGTAAAAATACATAGATAAAACAAAAAATATGCACACTATTTGATAAAAAAAATTAACAGCCATACAAATATGACTTACCTTCTTAAGGTATACTGTGGGAATAAGGCGACTTAGGTCAGCTAGACAGTTGTTCATTCTATCTCGTCTTCTTTTTTCTATTATACGATGTGACATTGGGTCCTGAACAATAAAAAAAAATTTTACAAGAACTTTCTAGAATTTACAGACAACATTTTCACACATTATCTCCCTGATTCCACTCAACATTTATGACAAATTGAAAATATCGTTTACAAAATGCAAACACATCTCACATTTTTACAATGGCCTTTTCATTTAGGTACTTCGTTTGACCAAGGTTGGAATCATTTTGATTGTTTGTTTTCCAAATGTTTTTATCAAAAGCATATTCCTGTGATCTATTTAGTTTGGGTTTTATCTTACCACATCAATATTGTTATCCTTATGTATCCTCACCTATCAATAAAATGTTTTAAACTTCTGATGTTCATTTTTTAATTTCTTTTTTTACCCTATACCAAATCTGTTTACAATATTGGATCTACTAGATAACCTTAAGGAATATAAGTAATCAAAAACCACATATCCTGGAATTTTATTTTTAGATGTTTTCTTTCTACTTCAGGACAACCTTTCACGAAAAATGACTTCTTCAGCTCGTTGGATTATTCGTTTAAGCTTTATGGTATTGATATTGGATTTTAGTCGAAGACCTTTAGGAATGATTCTGTTGTTCCGGCCTTTTAGGAGAAACGTACAATGGTTACGGAATCTGGATGGTTTGGTACCTGTCGTTTCTTATGTCTTGACGAATTCGCATATTCGCCGTCTATTGCCTCAAAGTTACTTCATTACGTTTTGTTTGATACTCATATTATACAGCTGAAGTTTGTAAATAAAAATATCAAACCTCTGCTTTATGTTATTCTTTCTTCGCTATACGTAAAAGTGACACAGACCGAATCCCAGCGACCTCACAGTGACAGTCCTTACATTTAGGTTATTATTAGTTTAAAAAACTATATATTCAGTTTACAGACGATTAACTTTTACTCCAAATAAATGTACGTTTTTCAAATAGAATTTCTAAACAGATAACATTCCTTTGACGAGAAACATGGTATGGAATGCAGTTGGTATAACCGACACTTTCTCCTTATTACGACAACATCCACTTCACTCTTTCTCTTCTACTCACGATCGCGAGCCTTCTGCACATGCAATGGCACGTGATTTGAAAGACTTTGCGGATGTTTCTCGTGTGCTTAACAAACAAATTTGTGCACTCACGTGGTCAAACAGTAAAACTGCTTACAAGAAAACCGTAGGTGTTGTTAAATATAGAATTGTCTGTAATATACACCTGTGTAAGCAAATATATATATATATAAACCATTGGAAAATAAACAAACAAGCAAGCAAATGTTAGGCGAAAAAAAATCTACTTGTTTAATTTCACAGTATATAGTTGAAACATTTAATACGATTGTTAATTTTTAACGTGCTGAACAACGTAACGTTCAATATTCTTACATACACATATAAAGCATTACTTTTTAACCTATTATACCTTGAATTTTTTATCGCTTGCCTTTCCTTTTACTATGAACGTTACTAAAAATTAAAGCACTTTAAAACTTTTACAGTATAGTTCTGAAAAGCGTTCGCACACTTAATAGAAATATAACATTACGGCTGAACGAAAATGCGAATGTTTTTCTTAACATATACACTAATAAACTAAGATGCCACTACTCAGAAAAGTATTGTGTGATAAGACAAAATAAAATTATTGTTTTAATGTTGTCATTTCGTTGGCAGATTCTTTTAAATTATTTAATGAAAATAATGTAACGTCAGACCACTTAATCACAAATTAGCCTATTTTCTCCTTTAATGTTTCTGCCAGCTTGAACACTTGTACACCGTTGTAAATTGTTGTATGCCTACGTTAGAAATGACTTCAAACCTCTGGCAATACTAGGATTAAAAAAATCAACTTACTTGTACAGAATAATTCAACAAATACGATAGCAAACACAGATCCATATAGTTCACGAAAACACACCGATTGATTCGATTCTACATTAAAACAACTTTATCCCCTTAGTGGGATAGAACAAGATGGTTAACCCAATAATCACATCTCCCAAACTTGATGATATCCTCTTAATGGGTCAGGATAATTTGTTTTACGAAACAACCACATTTCTCGAAACAAAGAGAAAATACACAATTCACGCAATAACTTGCACTGGTATAGGGACAATGTCACTTTTCACGTGAAGGATGTGGATATGGCACTTTTCTATAAAATCATCAAGACCAATAGTATTATTACAAATCACTATTATGAAGTATAATTCTTATTTGTACAATAATCTCGTATATTAAGTCCCTAAGTCAGTCATGAACAAGATGATGGAAAACATGTATTTGGAATTTCACATGAAAAGAGAAAAAAAAAATCACAATAAAGTATAAGATGAGGATAAAAGGGATCAAACCCTATAATACCACAGCTCTACGTGTAAAGATTACCAAGAATATATTTATTAGTTTTGATTACTTCTGAAGAATAAATGAAATCTCCTTAACTTCCTTAAATAACGCCCCCCAGTGGCACAGCGGTATGTCTGCGGACTTACAACGCTAGAATCCGGGTTTCGAAACCCATGGTGGGCAGAGCACAGATAGCCCATTGTGTAGGTTTGTGCTTAATTACAAACAAACAAACAAATCCTTAAATAACTAACAGAGGGTTTTATCTATGAAGACAAATCGTTATATTTTATTCACCACTTTATAAACACAAAGATTTTTTTCGTAAATTGTTACAATTTTTTTCGTAAATGAACGTTTAATGTGATAATGATTGTAATAAAAAGAATTATTTATGTGACGAAGCATGAAGTAACACATGTTTATCCTATAACAGGTCAGACGAATCGCCATGACATACGTCAGTTTCTTTGTAAACTGTGACATATGATGAACGGTTAGATGAGTCATGGTCTTTGTGTACAAGAAACTCTGAAATTACCTAAAACAACTAGAGTACGCTGGAATCATCCTAATTAAAGTGGGGAACTTTCTCTGCAGCAATAAAAATGGTTCAGAACAGTGCTCTGGACTTTTCCCGACTGCTCTCGACATCATCAAGATGGCAGAAAAATAGACTCGAGTGGTAGGATCAACATAACCAGCCTCCTAGTCTTGTTGATTGTGTTATACTGATGCCAGATCATCTCTTTCAAAGCAGACTTCTAGTATGCGTTATTTTATCTCCACAGTTCTGCACTGAACAATGCCTCTACATCTGATTGGATTATTTGGGTCTTTTGGTAAACACTTATCGCCGTAAGTAAGACAGTTCATTCTGAAGTAAAATACTGAATATTCAGATGTCTTTATTTCAAGATAGTGGCTCCCTCTGAGCTCCCCGTCATCGAGAATACTTCAGTCATAGTTCAACATACGATTCTGATTCCTAATGAGACACATGTATTGAGAAATTTTATTGTCAGTTTAGAATGTATTTCTCTTCTTTCTTGCAGTTCAAAGTTTGATGCAATGATTTTCCTTATCCTTGCATATTCTTCTGACATTTAAAGAAGCAGCTGGATAGCGTTTCTGTCGTATTGAAGCATTAACGCAGGTGAGGCTTACAATAACTATAGTCGATACATCAGACGCATCTTCAATCAACCTTATAATATTGCCCACCCGGACTGATTTTTTGTAACAAACCTTTGTGATTGTTTTTAGTCCCTCTAGTTTCACCTTCGAGAATACACCTCAATGGACCAAAGATGAGTCTCTTTTTAGAGGATGGCTTCTCTTTTTTTCAACTCCCTAGTATACGAGATCTATCTGAGTGTAGAAACGAAAGTTCTACTTTTCCAAATGGGAACTCGTCAGGATCTTGAACAGGACATATTGAAACGCCCTTGTTAATTGGTAATCACTTTTACGCTTTTCTCTGTTTTCAAAGCCTACCAACCAGACTTACAGATAGATAGACGCAATTTTCCCATCCTTTATAGTGATATACAAGTTAAATTAGAGTCATAAATCCTACAAGTAGATAAATAAGTAAACAAAAGTATAATTTAGCATTTTACTTTCTACTTACCCGAATCGTTCTTTTCCGTAAAAATGCAAATTCTTCATTTTCACTTCCACGTGCATCCATGGCAGCAAAGTTCAGGTTTCTGACAAAAACGACAAAAAAAAAGAAGAATACTTTAGGTTTCTAACAAACACACGATTATTTGTTCACATAAATAAGAGTTGTAATAAGAATATAGTAGTGCGATCGATCGATCCTTGGATGCAACTCCTGTAATGTTTGACAGAATGTAGAGGTCCATCCATCAGTTCTTGGTTCCTATAATGTGTGGCAGAATGTAGAGGTCCATCCACCAGTTCTTGGTTCCTATAATGTTTGACAGAATGTAGAGGTCCATCCACCAGTTCTTGGTTCCTATAATGTTTGACAGAATGTAGAGGTCCATCCACCAGTTCTTGGTTCCTATAATGTGTGGCAGAATGTAGAGGTCCATCCACCAGTTCTTGGTTCCTATAATGTGTGGCAGAATGTAGAGGTCCATCCACCAGTTCTTGGTTCCTATGAAGCTTGGCAGGATTTATAGGCCCATCCACCAGTTCTTGCTTGTACCATGGATCTGGTTACAGATTATTTTCTAATAAATATATACCTGGCTACTGGTAAAGTGTGAATATTTTGTAAAAAGAATATTGTCCCACATTTTTTGGCTGACTTTATTCCTCGAGCTGTTCTTTGCTATAAGTAGAGTGCAGCTCATTGGGCGATACAGACCAGGCGTGTGAAGTCCGTTTCTAACACCATTGGTATAGAGACAATACCTCTTTCCCTTCTGCACCTGCGAACATCTGATCCAATATTAGAAAAGGTACCCTAGTCAGAATCCACAAATAGCGACATTTTGCTTGCGTTGTGGATGGCAGTCTGCCTTGTCCAGAAGACTCAGCAACTGTACCATTAACATTATAGTGGTTCTATATACCGTTAAGTACAGTGTGAGATAGTTGTAAGTAATTTATAATAGCCTGTCATGATTGGCTGGTTGTTCACATTAGTGAAACAATCAAGTAGCTATGGTTCGTGAACAATTCGTAACATGTTAAACTTTGCGATTAACCTCGAAGCAACAAATGAGAACAGACTGTGTGAGACCACTATAGATATGTGTGTGTGTGTGACAGGTTGAATGACCAAAGATTTGCACTTCAGGTCACGTGAATCAACATCAAATGCCTATTTTGTTTTGTGACAATGTTTAAGTCTGTTGTAACCTATCATGTATGGTAATTGTGGTATAACATCAAGAGAAATGGTATAAAAGTTACTGTCTGAAAACTTTAAATTGCTTTAATTCACGATTTCGTAATCAGTTGACTTTTATAACCCTTTATTTACGGTAGTTGCATTGAAATATAGTTGAATTTATATACTTTTGGATAGAAAGTTTCTACTGCTGAATACGAATTCCAAGTTCCACTTGTATCTGCATATAAATAAATGCCTGGAAACTTAAGTGTTAATTATGAAGTCTAACGTATAAAATGAATTACATTAATAATTTTTATATTCAACACAGGCCTTATTATTTGCTGTGTATTGTAATGTTCATTACTGTCATAGAATATTTTGTTTTATTCAATGTTTGCGTATTCAGTTTGTTTTTAGAATATTTTTGCTGCTTTCTTTGTTAATAATTATGTCTAGTATAGACAGTATTTAGGGTGTTTAAAGTGTCGGGAAATTAAATAATTTGTGTTAAATATTCTATACAAAGTGTTAACCACTGTATTTTGGGTTTGTTTGCCTTTTTAATTGACTAAATTTGCTGGTCTCATATGGTTTTCTATGACGTCATTTCACGACATCCTTTAAATAAGAAAGAAAAGCTAATTTTAGCCTCCTATAATTTTGTACCCAGGTGTAAAGGTAGTGTTATTCTACATGGCTAATATATAGAACAAGGAGCTGCAGATTATCACTCGCGCACAGTAAGGTTACAAAACTTTCAAAACAACTGAAAACTAGGAAATTGTAGTACTTATCTAAACTTCTGAAACCAATAATATCTGGTTAATTTTGGATTATTATTTTAAAACGTCAGTTTGTGGAGTGTGTTACTAATTTTTTAAAATGTAATGAGCCAATAGCTATAAAGTAACAAGAGCTTAATTCAGTTTTTGTTCCTCGAGTTTTTAGTGTAAATAGTAGTCGCCTTCAATCATCAGCGTCCTTGAAAAAATACAATTTGATAATTAGAAAATAATAAATAACTTTAAATATAGTGTATTCAGAAGAAGAAAGGGGTATTCAGTGGTAAAATAGGACACTTGCAAAACTGTTTTATATGTCAGGGAGCAAGCATGACTTACGTAAGTTACACGTCCACATCATCCGATCAATTGAATCACGTGTATCTATTCGTGACTCTTGTGTTTTAGTGAGAGTAAAGAACTTAACAATACATGTATTATTAGAAAATCGCTTTACAAATAGTACTCGTTAGTCAATCAACCTAAACTTGAATTATATACATCAAATTGAATGATATTGAATTAGATCTGAAAAGCAACGGACTAACATTATAGGAACCAAGAACTGGTGGATGGACCTCTACATTCTGTCAAACATATTTCAATCACTTGTTTCCAAGATAATTAAAGCGCTTCTTTCTTAGGTAATTTTATAACTGTGTATATTCATATCTTCCTGCCCTTCGAAACAACGCCTATATTAAACTTCAAGCCATGAGGCCGTCCTTGACATATTGTTGCTTTCCCCTCGGAAAAGTCAACTAACGATTTTAAATTATTTTATCACAAATTAAACATCTACTCAATAATTTTAAATATAAATATACCTATAATATTACAGGTATCCTAGTAATATGTTTACGCAGGTATAATTACATAGAAAATACCACAAACACTTCCAATACAAAACAGGAATACCTGTTGGTGTTACTAAAGTTAGTATTAGTATCAAATGAAATGGGAAAAAAAAAATCTTTAGAACCTAGAAACAAAAACTGCAAAAGGAAAACACCCTAAAAGGCAGAGTTTATGTATATATGTGATATAAAACAGTCGTCCTCACCGCTCAATCTTCACTTTATGATTGAAGTTCGAATCTTCCCAACAGCTGTCTGCTAGTTTTAAGTTATCCATGTTAAAACTTTGTAAATAAACCTTCAATTTCAAACCCAAAAGAACTTCTAAGAGATTCTTGCTAGCTATGAAATAATACTAATTTAAAATTTATTATGTTGAATCAACCATTTTACAAGTTGACTTCGCTCGCTTCGGCTTATCACGTTCGCATGACTGAATATATTCGGAACAGTTGGCACCGTGCTTAAGTTATAGTTTTCCGAAGTCACGCTGAACAACTCGTGGTAATATTTACACGGTAAAAATATTGTAGCATCACGCGCAACATGCTCAACCTCACGTGCCCAAAGCTTTGCCCATGCGCAGAGAAACAATTTATACTGCATCTACGAGGTCAAACGTGCGTTTATTTTTGACTGCTTGCCATGTTACGTAATATTCAAAAACCGAGTTTACAATTTTAATTTATGGAATTAACAATAATCTCAAACTCAACGGTTGGCACAATATTAAAATATTCGATTCTCGTTTATTAAATGCATATTTATAAAGTTTCAATAGTTTATTTCAGTTAGTTTTAGTTTTATTTCATGTCACCTTTTAACTTTATGGAGAACACCTGTCTGTTACTTCTGATTTAATACAGCTTCATCGATCTGTAAACATAAATTACAGCTTTTACAGTAGGTTTTTGGGAATAGTTTTTATTTAGACAGGTACAACGTTTCGATCATTAGTGCGAGTAGACTCAAGTACACAGGTTATAACTGTAATGGAAGTTTCTTTTCTTACGTGAATTTCGTTTCCCTCGCTGCAGCAAAATGTTTCGTCAAATTCACAGGTCGTCAGTGCTGCTTGGAAGAGCGAAGCAAATGTTTGTTTTTCTCCCACTGTGATTTCATGAGGTAAAACTGCATAGTATAACTGCTGGGAGTAATAGACGAAAAAGATGTAAATTTGTCTACAGAGAAAGTGAAACTGGAGGGTATGAAATGATGTTTGCCAAGAGTTAAAATCTTTATTTAGCTAGTTGTGAAGGGAAGTAAGAGGCGATAAAAGAAAAATATCTCCAGGTAGGATAAATATACGGACATGTGGTTTTAATGACGGAAACAACATCTGGGAGATACATCCAATACATGGTGAAGAAATGTTTAGCTGGAAAAAGCACTTTTTTTTTTTTGTGGAGAATGAACCGTAGAGTTTAGCAAGTCGGGAAGGATGACACGAGTCAGAAAACAGCGTGTGATATATTTGATACGAAATTTCTGAATATGATAAAGAATTCTGGGTAATGTGATGCTGTCATACAATTCCTAGGTTGGACTGGATAGCTTTACTTTGAAGGCCAGACAGAGGGCATGGCATTCGAGCACCATAGCATAAGTTTTTCATAAATAGAAAAAGAGGCTGATATATATACGCGAGGTATGTCTATAAGTAATACTAGGACAAATGAAGGTCTTATAAGATGAAGGGCAAAAGGTGGGTTCAAACTCCAAGTGATTCCAGTTAGATACTACGGGAGGTTTAATCATTGTGTTGACTACAGCAAGGCCGTCCATGTCAGAAGCTTATCGAATATATTAAGGTATCAAGCAGGTAGCCACTATGGGAGTTCTGCACCAACCTAGAAAGTGATTGACTGCTTTTTTTAGAACCATGTTTAAGGTGACCATGGTCAAGCAGGTAGCCACTATGGGAGTTATACACCAAACAAGGAAGTTTTCAGTTTTTTTGTATCTCCGCCTGAAGAAGAGAAAGTCGAACCTTTTAGAAAACTTTGCTGGAATGTAGTTGTTTATTTGAAAGGTTAATCCTAAGGAAACTGAGCTAGAGATTATAAGTTTAGAATTTTTTCTTGAAAATTCAATCTAATAAGCACTTATGATATTTTAAATGTCTAAATATATTGTTCAACACACGTCACATATTACACATTTCCTTTTGCTTTCACTCACAGGTTTTTTATAACTACGAGAAGGATGAAATTAAAGAGATAGAAATTTAACAGTTGTCTCGTTTACACCATACACATGCGCATTAGAGTCAAAGAGATAAAATTCGTTTAGTAATGGTGTAGGATTTAGTGTCACAAGACTAAAGCTATCTGTCTGTATTAGTAATTACATTATCACATATTTCGAGAGGCAGCAGGAAACAAATGAATTCCTCAAAGCATAGCTCTAATTTTAACACAATCACTTATAAATCGTGTAAAAGAACTGGTGAAAAGAGAGTCAGATGTAATAGGTTTGAAAATTGATGTGAGAAAAAAGAGGATACAGTAGTCTAAGTTGCATATTTATATACAATTAAAGGACAACACAGCACCTGTTGGTCCATTTAGGCTGTACCATCCACTATACTAAACTCTAAAGTAAAAATAACACATTCAAAGCCAGCCTTTATCATTCAAATATTTATCAAGCTTTCCTTTAAACTCCCTTAATAAATTAACTGCTTCTACCACATCTGGAGGCAACCCATTTCAAAGGCCAACCATCTTGTTAGAAAAATAAAGCTATCTCTGCTGAAGACGATCCTACCCTGCCAAAATGTATACTTGTGTGCCCTAGTCTTACCATTCTCACCATTAAATACGAAAAAAAGATGATGCATGGACACTGTCAATTCCCTTAACAATCTTAAACACCGCAACTAAATCCCCTCTCTTTTTACTTTTTTTTCAAGAGAAAACAAGTTTAGAGATCTTGTATGACAAACTTTCGATCCCAGGTATCATTCTATTAGACCTCATCTAAGCTCTTTCCAACAATTAAATGTTCTTTTTGAAGGTAAGGAGCGCACAGTATTCCAAATGTGGCCGAACTAATGATTACACACTGGATTAGGCATTGAAAGAAGATTAATTTGATGCTTAGGTTGGAGATGGATTATACAGAATCAAAGTTTATGTTTAAAAATCCAAACATAAAAGGAATTTGTGGTTGTAGCGAGAGCTTAACTTCATTTTCATTGATTCATAGCTAAATAGTCTGAATTAAAAACTGGCTAGTTAAACTAATCTGAACAAATAAACCATTTGTTATATTCTGGTATTCTCCAAAATATAATGGCTGGATTACTTGGGGTAGGTTAGGCAAGCTGTCTTCTAACTATCAGTTTTCAGTGGTCACAGAAATAAAAGTCTCAACTTTCATAAACGAAAGGGTTAGCAGAATAGGTAGAGACAAATGTGAATTTAGAAGTTATCAAACTTTGGTATTACCATTAGGATTACTGAAACAAGTTATGACTTAAGCCTACGACTTTGGGAGTACGAGTCTACATTCAAATTTAAATTTGTCTGTTATAACTTATATTAATATTACTACTAAATTTTATAATAATAAACTTCTAACGTTGAAATTTCACAACAAAAAAGGGATATGGCGGAAGTTTAAATTATGAGCAAATAGTTTTAAAATTTTGACTTGTATTTTTCTTTTGAAAAAAATATAAAAATCTAAAACTGGATATTTTTAATGTTGTAATTCGTTTGTTAGCTAGAGGAAGCTGTGGGTATTAATGATGACGTTACAATAAAATGTCTGATAAGATAAGCCTAAAACACCCAGAAAGTTCTAACAATTTGACGTGAAGTTTTCTAGGAAATTCGAGGATAGATTACAAATATGAGGTTCAGAAAGTTATTTCGATAGACTTGTTTCTAGAAGGTAATGAATCAGTCAGAGTGTATTTTTCTTTCAGCCAGAATTAGTTTCAATAAAATATTTAGACCTATGTTAGCTATTGCGCATATTGAGTTGCTTGATTGTTTCCGTCGTGAAGTAGTACAAGTAAGTTTATTCTTTACGTTGGTGTAGTGCATTTTGGGTCATTTGTATCACTGTGTTTAATCTTGTGGAAACGCTAATGGTGGAAATATACACATTTGTTATCGTTATGTGGAGTGGACGTTGAATTGTTTTCACCAGATAATTTTTGCTACCATATTTTACGAACAACTATTCATATGTAATGACTTCTTTTACGTTTAAAAACCAATACAATTCTTATTATATTACTTTTTTTTTAAAGAACTAGTGTGAGACCATGAACTTTTTCGTCATAAAACTTAACCAAAGGTTTCAATAACAAGCAATCGTATAGAGGACGCTACAATCTTTTTCGTTGCATGTAAAGCTGTGGAAATCAAGAGCCCTTTCATAAATTCTTTGAAATTTTAAATTATATATATATTGAACATTTTAAAATTTGCATATCCCCAACTTTCACCGAAAGTCATCTTTAAACCTCAATCACGCATTAAAGTATTTTGTCAAGAACAGAATCATAGAACTTTGTTTACAAATTTGCATGTACCTGTTGTAAACTGCTAGCAGTTTTATATCAGTTAGTACACCACCTAGCGGTTCAAAGCAAAGATCATCTCGTGAGCTTTAGATTGTTAAAGAAAGCATCCTTCATCCCAAATCGTTATTGTGGATTTTTTGTGCTGTAACTGGCTTGAAAGTTAAACCAATCATGGCAACAGGTATACTAAAATGATATAGTGGTCTTTTAAAATAATTTAGCATTTTAAGGCCATCTAAAATTTAATAAATGTGGAGGACAGATATGTCTAAGAAACCTAGCACAAGATGTGGAACACCAGTTTGACTTGAATGTTGTTATTTATGTTAGTTTTACCACATTACGTTTATACTGGGCATGAAATTCAAAGCAAAACAATTTTGAGATTATAAATGACCGTTCCAGACTTGTGTTTGTGAGAAATGAAATTGAAAATCCATCATTTCGCTTTCTTTCCAGTGTAAACTGTAATGATAAAACTTGTATATATGTCATGATTAAACCAAATATAAAACTAGAGATGAATTATGAAATTAATATACATTTAGCATTTAATAAAAGAGTTAGAGACTACAATGAAAAAGAAAAAAGGCCTAGTCTACCTTTGTGTTCAATATTTCGCCGACGATGACATTGGACATAAATGATATAGACAATTTAGTGTAAATCATACTAAATCATCAGTAAATGTTCTACAGGCGTTTATTCAGTGCAACATAAATTATAAATCTTAACTTCAAATTGCATACATGTCAGTTTATAAATAATTTTATGCAAATTTCATCAAAAAATACAATTTTTAAAGTAGTTGAAATAATGTTTCCATTATTGCATTAAGTGTGCGTGTGAGAGTATTTTTGGAAGAAATCTTAAGGTAAGGTATTCAGTTAAGAAGATCTGCAAGTAAACTTTTTGTTATTTTGTAACTTGTATATGGAAGAAAGAAATTATGATTTTTTTTCTTAATAAGTTAGTTCATGAACACCTCTGTGGTATGATTCTTTGTAACCTAAATGTGTTTTCACTTTGGTCTTTGTGCCCTGTAGCAGCGTAAGACTGAGAGTGATTTCTATGCTAGCCTTAGGCCTATACATACAGCTTTCCATCCAAATGGACTAAGAAAAATGTAAGAAGATAGGTGACAGACCATTTGATCTACCATCTAAGATTTTTGGGGTCACTACTCACCTAACAAGACAGTGAAACCAAATTAAAATAACCTTTAAAGGTTAATGTATGTAAAGATTTATCAATCTTGCAGCTGTCTAAAGATTAATGTATATAAAACTTGACTCAACCCTACCGACTCATTCATATAAATGCAGTATCTTTATATATATATATATATATATATATATATATATA